TTTTGTATGTGTTTAGTATTTTTTTTCACTGTCGATTTCATTATGAATTGTCATCAGTAAAAGAAACTATTACAGTCATGGAGTTCTGAATAGCTGTTCCGCCCTACCTTCATATTCGTCACCAGTGTGAACCTACAAGTTGCTCCCTGTCCAAGGACCAAAACCCAGGATTTCCAACTGGCAACGCTATATCAAAAATGACAGAAGTTAGAACTCGCAGGTCATCCGATTCCAACCCAATGACCAAATGTTAGGAGGATCTGCTGTGAAACCTGAAGGTTCCGGATTTGATTCACACTGTTGAAAAGCCGTAGACTTGAACGGGACAGTCATCGACTGCTTCAGGAATCAGCATAAAATCATCGACTTTTTAACTGATGTCGGTTCTTGATGACGTCTGCAATGAAACAGCTTTATTCTAAAAGATTCATTTATACACAGGGTGTACTGTAGTAAAATATTTACCTCAGCTGGACAATACCTGTGATCACTGCACTGAAATCATCACCTGATTATCAACCAGGTAGTGTAGTTTAGCTAGTAAAGAGTTGGACCAGTAGTTCAGAGGCTACACTTTCAGAGCCTGTTATGATCTCGACTTCCATTCTACCTAAAGTCATCAGCCATTACAACATGGACAGTAGTCTACCAGCCTTTAAATAGTTTCAGCATTAATGAATTTAAATTATTGATTGCTAACAGAAGTCTATGAGTAATCAGGTACAAAGCAATTTGTTCAAGTATTTTGTATTTGTGGTCCATTATTATTTTTTTTTGTCTTTACAAAATTTGCGGAAACAGTTGACAGTATTATTCCTTTCCAAGACATTTTGTATACCTATTTTTAGAGAGGAAAGAAAAAAGTGCAATGAGTTTTTAAAAAAAAAATCTGCTCTATTTGAATAAGATAGAAATAATTCAAGAAGAAGAAGAGATGTCAACTTTAACATTGATTATTTAGTGTGTTAAGAGCCTCACTGAATGTCAGCCTCCTACTTATATATATTCCCACCATTGTGGTAGGCAAAGTTTACTATTCAGATTTAAGGTAGACTTCATCTGCAGTGGCAATATATCGTAAGCTGACTAAAGTTAAAATTCACGGGTCATTTCGACCCAACGGCCGAATGTTGAAAGCGTGACCAGCTGATAACTTAAAAGTTCTGAATTCTATTCCTGGGAGGATCATGGATGGGTAATGTCAAGTAGTCTCAAGGTGCCATGAAATCACTGACCAGTGTTTCAGACACTTTTTTGTTATTCAAGTATTGGTTTGTAGGGATTCGGTTGATTGGTTACAGGATTTCATCATGAGCTGACATTGGTTAGAGAACCATTGGAAGGGAAATTAATTAGTCATTCGTAAACTATACTAACTTCTAGCTAACTGTGTTTATTTACCAGCTAATTAGCAGACAAACATTCAACTAGCTATCAGTGTAACTGTAACGAGTGAAATATGATATCACTTTATTTATTAAATATTTAGAATTCATAGAAAATGTGACATTATAAGTATTCATTTAGTATTGTATTAGGGGTATTACTGTGGGGCTATAGATGCACACTGTTAGAGAGTCTTGAACTAGAACGAAACAATTGTCAAGTCCTCCGTGGTCTAGCGCACTGGTGGTGGTGCACTCACGCAAGTGGTTCGGGTTTGATTCCTAGCCGACAAATTTCCAAACTTCGCCTAGTTTATTAACCGGTATTTATCCCGAGTTAAGGTCAGCAACCTTGCTTTCTAGTGAAACGCTGAGCTCAATCTTCAAGCTTTGTGTCCCGCTTGAAACGTAAATAGCTAGAAAAGAAATGTATCTAAGGTATATTTTGTATTCTATGAAGCAAGTAGGATTATCAATTACTAAAAATTTGCAATTTCAAATAATTTAGTATATGTTCTGAGGAACCATGTTTTTTCTAGAAAAAAGTGAATATTTTGAGATTTTAGATGAGAAGTTGAGGAACCCACTCCAGTAGTCACAACTTAACCATCCACTTTCATTAAATTTATTGGGTGGGGGGGGCAGGAGGAATCTGTGACAATTTCTAAATTGTTTCAGTAGTACAGCTTATAGGTCGTTTCACCTTAAAAGTGTTTCTTTTAGTCAAACGCAACTTTAAATAACCTGCAAAATATGATGAAGTGATTAAGGCTCACTTTATTTCACTTTAGGATTACATTCTTCATGCGATAGTCTGGAATCAAGTACGTTAGAAATCAATCACTGGATTGTAATTGAGAAAGTCGTCACTTTTAAAAAAAAAATCAGTTAAAGGATTTCATTATGAGCTGACATCAGTTAGGGGACCATTTGAAAACCTGCAAGGAGTACTGGATAGCTGTTACGTTGTAGTTTGGGACTCTTCATCAGTACGCACCTACACTGTGGGGTTCGAGCCCAGGACTTCCAGGTTACAGGACAAGCTCGCATAGCATTCGGTCACTTGGACCGGTGAATTTTAACTTCTACCAATTCGTGATTTTAGTATGACCACAAGCCGATGTCATCGTTGGCGAATATTTGTCCTCACACCCAACTTCCCATTAGAACTACCTATCTGAATGGGGCCAGTCAGTAGCCAGCATCATTAACTTACTCACTTTATAGTACAGCCACTGATTAGTGGCTTCTTTCACAAAGGACTTACTTAATTCCAAAGACTCTCAAGATTCATTATGAAATTAACTGATTCTCCTACAGTGGTACATTCTGAATCAAATTCATTCAAAATATTAATAAATACTGAAGAACGCTGAACATGATTTTAACATATTTGTCTTTTCTGGGAGGTATAGAATCCTCCAAATGACATTCATGCTCTTTGTAGTAACGTCTTCAAGAGACAGAGATCAGGTTTTACAGACATTGGGAAATGACACTGTCTAATTCGTATCCCTTATCAATGTTGTCTAATGATACATTCTCAATTTGCAATTTACATAGTTGAAAGTTAAATTTCATCACAATTCGCCTTCTAAAGATGGCTTGCAGTTGATGAGCTCGGTTTGAAACGAGGGAAATGGTCGTCCAGTGTTTAGATCATATCACTACAATCTGACTAGTAAACACTACTGGTTAATGTCAGTGGTATCTAACTACTCATTTCATCCAATCAGCAGCATGTAGCATCGAGATTTAAAGTGACGTAGTAGACTGGATAAATATTTTATAGTCTTTAATTAGAATACCAAATGCTATTAGCTTACACTTTATATAAAAAGACAGTTGTTTTAAATATCCCAGAATAAGTTGAGCGCTTAGTTCGACTAAATTATTACAAAACTATTTCAAAAATGTCCCTATCCTTTTCCTGAACATTTTTTTTGAATAGGCCAAAACTTCATCAGAATTTGTTTAAACTTTTCTGCTGAAAATTTAAAAAAATATACGTGATCAAACAATTTAGAACAAAATTTACTTGTCTGAGGGTCACTGAATGGACTGTAACCATTTAAACAACACGGATACTATATTCGAATTTCCATAAATTTGTAAACCACAAATCTAGCGCTCAGCTATATTTATTTTATGCAGAGGCGATTATTTCTTAAAAATCTAGTTAATAGGAGAGATAATGTACGATAAAATTCATTCATATTCAAGTATTGGTTTGTAGCGATTTGGTTGATTGGTTACAGGATTTCATCATGAACTGACATTGGTTAGAGAACCATTGGGAAACCTGGGAGTACTGAACAGCTGTTTCGTCCTGGTTTGGGACTCTTCATCAGTACGCGTCCATCGGGGTCCGAACCCAGGACCTTCTGGTCACAAGGCGAGCTAGTAGAACTTCCAGGTTTTCCAACGGTTCTCTAACTAATGTCAGCTGATGATGAAATCCTGGAACCAATCAACCGAATCCATACAAACCAATACTTGAATATCAAAGGGATGCTCATTGGTGACTGGGCCTATTCAGGTAGGTAGTTACCTGGGGTTCTACTGAGAAGTCGTGACCAGTAGTGTGCAGCAGGTCGGATGTGAGGACAAATACTCGCCGAAGACATTGGCTAGTGAACTGGCAGAGGTTAGAATTCATGGGCTTATTGATCTACGACCTCGTCTTGTAACCAGAAGGTCCTGGGTTCGAACCATAGTGGTGGGTGCGTACTGATGAATAGTCCCAAACTAGGACTGATGAAACAGCTGTCCAATGCTCTCAGGTTTTCCGATGGTTCTCTAAGCAGTGTGAGCTCATGATGAAATCCTGTAACCAAAATTCATTCAGTTATTCGTTATCTGTAGTGTAGTCACAGAGAATAATTGTACTAATCTGTGCTTACCACCGAAGTCTTGTCTATGTTCTTAAAGAGATATGGTCCGTGACCTCATTGAGTGATGAGGTTAGAGGCTCTATCGTTGAGTTATTTTATTTTGTTATTTTTTTCTTCACGTTCCCAGTGGAACATAGGACCTCAAGCTGATGGCTCGAATTTTCTGTAGCAGTGTTTAATTTTAAAGAATGGGGTTGCTAGCCACATGCCCAACCTTTCCTTTTTACCAGTATTATTTCTGGCTTAGCAAGGTAAAGGAGTGCGTCTGTGGCTGGGGATCGAATCCCGGACGATGTGCATGGTCGGCGACCGTCCTAACCGCTATGACGCCGACGCATGTTGAGTTATTAGGGGTGTCAAATTACTTCTTCTGTCTGAGAGCTTTATGAAATTATTTAATACTTTGACTGAACACTAGGGGTAGTAGTTAACGTCATGCGTCTAATCCTTCAACTTTTTGGTGCATATTGAATTCTCTCAGTCGAGTTTGCAGCAATGTCGTCATTATGTCGCCATAGTGCACTTTGAATTGTTGTTAGATGCTTTGCAGGTAATCGTCAGGAAGCCTTGGACCCAGGTTTTATGCTTGTTGGCTCTGTGAACACCTAGATCAATAGCTGATCCTGATGACTGCTTTCAACCATCTAACAAAATTATTTAATATTATATTATAATAAAACTCTTTCTAATTATTGTTTCTCTATGTTATCTTAAAATTTAGATATTCAACAGAATTCACAAATACAACAAGACGTAGAAATGCTACAAAAGAGAGTACAACAACACTGAAAGCATGGCTACAAGAGCATATAAAAAATCCTTATCCAACTAAAGGTGAAAAGATAATGCTTGCCATAATAACAAAAATGACACTAACACAAGTATCAACATGGTTTGCAAATGCTAGAAGACGTTTAAAAAAAGAAAATAAAATGACATGGACACCTAAACACAGAGGTGAAGAACAAGCAGATGATGATGATGATGGAGACGATGATGAGGATGATGAGGATGGTGACGAAGATGATATGGATGATGCCGGTGATGATGCTGATGCTAATGGTCATGTTGATGATAATGAAGAAGGCGGTGGTGATGGTGAAGTAGACAATCGTCGTGTTAACCATCGTCATCGTGATGACAGACATAGAAAAGACGGCAAGCATAGAAATGTGGATAATAATAACCTCGGTGACAATGATCAGGAAGATGAAATGACTGGATCTGATGAAGAATTGAACATTATGGAATTAGCCTCCAGTCAAAATCGAAATCATTCTACGCTGAATAATTACTTTAAAAATTATTCCTCTGATAAGCATAATAAATCTATGATCAAACCTGATTTATTTAAAACAAATTTTCATGAAAATGAATCATACAACAGTAATAATAATAATAATTCATTAATGAATATGAAGAAATTTGATGAATTCCATCATTTCCCATTGATTTCATCCTATCCAACACCAAATACCTCATTCTTAATGAATCAAATACAACCTAATCTGAATGCTACGACTAATGCAAATACTACTACTGTCGCTACTGCTAATACAACATTTGATTCATTGTTCAATGAACAGTATGATAAAATGAATTTAACATTGAATCAATTGAACACATTTAACAAAAATCAGTGTGTCCCACCTCACAAAGCATTTGAAAATAATAATAATAATAACACCAACAGTGCGACAACACATATAACCTATCAGTTAAATAATTTTATTGAAAATCATATCAATGAATTTAAAGATAAAATTGATAAGAAGAAATTTAATGTCAATACACATAATACGGATGAAGTTCCTTCAACAGAAATGAAGCTAACAAATATGTCAGGTAGACTTCCTCAATCAAGTAAGTTATCCGAACATATTTATATGTATATGTATGTTTCCTTTAACTCCTGGAGGAACATAGGGGTTCAGCTGCACATCCCCATTGCGTTCGGTTCTCTGCTAGAGTTTTCCCCTGGCTCCAAATCTACCCACATGTTTTCATCTCCTCCCTTTCACATGACCTCCTCCAAGTTACCCTTGCACTGACGACCAACTCGCCGCTTCTATTTCGGGTTCAACTCGAGCAATGGCTTGTCTAGTGATGTTACTTGATGGTTTGTTTTCTAAGAGTATGTCCAATCCACCTCCATTTCTTCCTGCTTATTTGTTGTAGAGTCGGTTCCTGCTGGGTCGGTTCGTTCATTGCCAGAGATCCCTGTTGCTGATTTTCTCTGGCCTGCCATCTGATCTTGAGCGGTATTGAGCGAAGACAGTTGTCAATGAAGGTGTGTAGTTTGTTCGAAGTGCCTTTGGTGACGCGCAACCAAGTCTCAGATCCGTAAGAACAGCACTTACTTCACATCCATATCTTGTTTTCATGCTGAGTTTTGTTGATATCCACACAGACTTGAGAGTAGTGAAAGCATGCCCTGCTTTCCCGATCATCAGTCCCGTCCACTTGTAGTTGAAACGATGCTTCCCAGTTAGGTAGGTGAAGGAGATTGCTTCTTTCAGGTTTCTCCCATTTATGCTGATTGTTATCTGTTGTTGTTGCTGCTGTTGCTGTAGCTGTTGGCCAGGAATCTTCACCATCACATCTGTTTTCTCTATGTTCACTCGAAGTCCTATTCTCTCTGGATGCTTCTTCTGTTGACTTGTTGCTTTTCACTCGCATATTTCTCGATTTGTGAGAAATCAGATATATATCATCGGCGAAGTCCAGATTCCCCATGCTTTTTTGTGTAGGTCCATTTGATGCCTGTCTCCTCGTTGTCCGCAACTGTCTGTCACATTATCCAGTCTACCGATCGCAATCAGGAAAATCATTGGAGATGGAAGACAGCCAGCTTGTCTTACTCCCGTCTTCACTTTCAAAGATTCCGTGGATTAATTGGCATGCCGCATTGTCGTACAACTGTTGGATGAAGTATATAATTATTGGCAGGACCCTGTAGTACAGAATTAGTTGCCAAATCACCTCTCAGTCAACGCTATCGAAGGCCTTTTCAAAGTCAATGAAGCTGAGATAGAGAGCTGACTGTCATTCCAAGCTCTGTTTAATAATGATCCGTTCGATGTATGACTTGTTCCTCCTGAATCCGGCCTGTTCCGATCGAAAATTTTCATCCAGAGGTGGCTTGATTCTCTCCAATATGATGCGGCTTAGTATTTTGCTTGGGATGGACAGGAGCTGTTGCCGCGCCAATTCTCGCTTTGACTGAAGTCTCCTTTCTTTGTCAGTTTGGATAGGTAGCCTTTCTTCCAATCCGCGGGTAGCTTGCTCTCCACAGCTTCTGCAGTATTGGTGTCATCAAATGCGCTGATGTCTCGGGGTCCATTATCGATGTTTTTGCTGGGAACCGTCTGGTCCTACTGCTTTTCTAGTTTTTAGCATCTTGCCCCCTTCAGGATTTTTGTTTTCGTGAGGGATTGATGTCCACTGGTAGTTGTTCTTCCGCTGTCGATATTTTTGGGCACTTGTTGTTTTCCTAGACAACATTTTCAGTGCAAACACAGAAATCATACAGCTAAGCTACAAAACCGTCTGTATTATTGCAAAAGGGTAGACTCTTTAGAAGTGTATATAGATATGATGTATCTCTTACATTCTCAATCTTAGAACCGTTTATATCATGCAGGTACGATATTATGACTTAAATATTTTCACTTTATTCCTTTTTTCAAAAACCTAACTTTGTGTGATAAAGATAGTTTTCCAGTGTTGAATTTCCTGGACGAGACTGTTTACAAAATAAAATAAGTCACGAATCTACATCAGTTAAAAATTACTACTAGAAACCAGGACAGCCGTATCGTTTTAGTTTGGAACTCCTCAGCTCTGCGCGTTCATGTCCTCCACATGGGGTTGGACCCACTAAGATCAGGCTAGGATATGAGACAACTAATCGTTGCTAACTGACTACAGAGAGATTTCCTACAATTTTAATAGGATATTGTGACCGGTGGGGTCCACCAAGTTCGATGTGAGGACAGATATACGCTGATGGCATTGGATGGGGAAAATAGCCTATCACAGGAGTTGATTGTCATGGCTCATTGGATTCCATCTAGATGGCTGAATGTTTAGCAAATTCACTAGAAGGTTCTGAGCTTCCTCCTGGGTGCACACTGATGAAGAGTCACAAACTAGAACGAAGCAGCTGCCGAATGATCCCTGACTGATGTCGATTCGTAACGAAATCTACCCTGAAACATATATATATATATATATAAAACTTGGAGGATCTGGATATCACCGATGATATATATCTGATTTCTCACAAATCGAGAAATATGCGAGTGAAAAGCAACAAGTCAACAGAAGAAGCATCCAGAGAGAATAGGACTTCGAGTGAACATAGAGAAAACAGATGTGATGGTGAAGATTCCTGGCCAACAGCCACAGCAACAGCAGCAACAACAACAGATAACAATCAGCATAAATGGGAGAAACCTGAAAGAAGCAATCTCCTTCACCTACCTAACTGGGAAGCATCGTTTCAACTACAAGTGGACGGGACTGATGATCGGGAAAGCAGGGCATGCTTTCATTACTCTCAAGTCTGTATGGAGATCAACAGAACTTAGGATGAAAATAAAAATAAGATTCGGATTTCCAACTCCGATATAAGTTCAGTGCTACTTACTATACGGATCTGAGACTTGGTTGCACGTCACCAAAGGCACTTCGAACAAACTACAGAACTTCATCAACAGCTGTCTCCGTTCAATACTTCTCAGAAGCAGATGGCAGGCCAGAAAAGATAAGCAAAAGGGATCTCCAGCAATTTGCGGACCAACCCAGCCGGAACCGATTGTGCAACAAATCTGCTGGAAGAAACGGAGGTAGATTGGCCATACTCTGAGAAAGCAAACCATCAAGTGAGTAAGATCCATCACACTCCAGGCCACCACCCGATTGGAACCCGAGTGGAAAGTGGCGAGTTGGTCGTCAGTACGAAGGTGACATGAAAGAGATCATGTGAAGAGGGGATGAAGGCGTGTAGGCAGACGTGTTACCAGGTGAAAACTTTGATGGAGTACCGAACTCAATGGAGACGTTCCTGTAAGAACCAAAGGAGACAATGATAATAATAATAATAAGCCCATTAACCGTTTGTTAATTATGGTTCGAAGAGCTGAATAATCTTTACGCAAACAAGATTAAGGAAAATAATGTGAACCTTTCTTTACGGATTTACCGCAAGATAGACTGTTGAGTAAATTAACTGAGTAGCAAATAAATTTGAGTACACATGATCAATGAAAAATTAGGCAGCAACTAATATCAAATAAAAAACTTAAAAAAAAATACTAAACTTAAAAAATACAATATATTAAACCAAGTTTTCTAGAGTTAATGTCAAAAGACTGAGTGATTCTGACAGGAAACCATGCCTGGAGAAGGTTTATTGTTATTTACACTTGTTATTGAATAAATGAGCAACCATAGATTATCAAATACTGTCTAAGGAGTCCTCATTCACTGTGATGATCAGGAAAGTTGTAAACGGACTGAAAGTGAATGTGAAGTTATTTGAATTTAAACAAAATCTTAATTGATGAATCCTGTAGAGTGTTGAAATGTAGGATAAATAGAGAGTTAAACGCATGTATATTATTCATAATCATCAGTTACTTAAATAGTCATAGTGAAAATAAGGCATGATTTTATTAGATAAACACTCCCCTATCTGTTATATGAAGTTATATACTACAGAATAATTGATACGACTAGTTGAACACCACTCAAATCAACCAGAAGTTTCTTCTAGCCATATATAGGTGATCTAAACACTTCGCGTTTGAGGCTATTCTAGTCAGAGGTGTACCAGGTTTGACTTATTTCAGAGGAAAGAATCAGCTGGGGACAACCGAATTCTAGTCAGCTACTTGGACGAACTGGTAACAGATTGATTCAAGTTCGTGGTTTGCAATTTACACAGTTTGAGGAGGTGAAATTCCATCCCAGTTTCCTTTGCAGTGAATGTTTATGTATGCTGCATACAGTTTCTAATGTTTCATGCAATTAATTTATGAAATCGAGTTAACTTCAACTTGCTAACTAGAATTCTATTCTCATAGAGACTGTAAGTCACCAGCAAGAGGTGGTACCTACATAAATTGCAAAATGTTAATCATTTCACTTGTTTAAAATTCTAAAGCGCCACCTTTAAATTTAGTGAGTCAACATAGTCACACATTTTCCAGCAGCCATTGGTTTATCTTTCTGCAGAAAGCGGTTAATGACAGCAATTTGACCATATTTTTTTTGAAACATTTAAAATAATTTGGCAATTGTTGTTGTTGTTATTTTTAATAACCATCCGTTTTCATTTTAGATTGGACAGACATGATAAACCCGTCATCTGTTATGAAATATGATTCAATACCTTTTGGATCATATTATGGTCATCCTCATCCTCATCATTATAACCAAAGTATGTCATTGCCACATTATGCACAGGAGAATTCTCAAGTCCCGTCGTATATCCATGCACTGAATTCATCGAATAGAACATATCCAGTTAATCAATTACCGATGACAGATTTTATGAATGCATCATCTTCTTGTTCTTCTTCTACAGTTTCTCCAGGGGAACATACTTCATTGTTAATGCCATCAGACACAACAACCACTGGAACGACAACAACAACGACTGAAACAAGGGCGACAGAAATGCCAATAACACCATCAACAACATCGAACTCACTTTATACGCAATTATGTAATTTTCCAAATTCAATACATTTATTATCCCCAACACCCTTCAATTCTATAGATCACAATTCTGAAGTTGTTAGCATAACTAATAATAATAATATGCTATCCCTTACGAATATATTAAATTCTAAAGAATTTCTTTCACCTAAACTGAATCGTAATGAAAATCATGGTGAAGCCTCTTTACCGGCTTCATTGTTAACTCCTAATGATACGGTGACTAGTACACTTGGTTACATGCAAAATTGTAATAATAATAATAATAAACTATCTTTTCATACAATAGACAATATTCACAACAGTACAGTATCAGAGGCGACTACAAGGATAACGACAATGTTCACATCAACTGCTTCGACAACAGCAGGTGTAACATCACCACCAGTGTCAACGCTCAATTCATCATTATGGTCACCCCAATTACAACAGTCAATCCGTGTAGATGAAAGTAATTTAAGTATAAATTCTGGACAGACAAAGGAAACAACGACAACAACACCAACTACAGGTAGTACATTTTGGCAATCAACCAACTCCTCTTTAACAGTACCTATTTCATCCTCTAATAATAATAATAATAACAGTAGTCGACAACGAATAATTCCCGACGACTTCAACACTTCTCCTACCCTTTGGTCAGACAACCAACTACTACATGATACATATAACAACAGTGAATTAAATCATCATATATTTTATCAACCATTGTATAACTCTATGAATACAATGCCTACACGATAAGTAAGGCGATAAACACAAGATATTTCTACATGTAGTTAGTCTAGTTTCCCTTTTTTTCTGTAGAATCATGTGTAATTTATAATTTATAACTCACCGACTCATTATTCAGTTACTCACTCACGCACTCAATCGTTCGCTCACTCGCCTTCTAGCTCACTCACATTCATATTCGCATTCACACACACACACAGACACACAAGTAATTTAACTTAATCCTAATGTTCACAGTTTTATCTCAATTCATTCATTGCATGTTTGCTTATTTGATATATTACTTATCTTTTAAATGTTCAGTAATAACACTTATGTAGGTATGAATTTAATACATTTGAAAATAATAATGATGAATGGATAAGTAAGAATAATTACTGAAATCTCTTCAACCAATTAATTAATTAATCGATCGATTGATTGATCAATAATTAATTATAAATACTGATTTGACAATGATTTAATTTTGTTGTAAATATAAAAGCTGACATAGTTGCATTGATAAGAAAAAATAAACAAAATATTATTTCCAGATGAAATAATAAACCATTTTAATTAAATAGACTTTTGTTTTCAAAGTGATAAGATTTAGTGAACTTTAGTAGAAAGTTGTGGAAATAAGGAGTGATATTAAAGCGTATCACTTCCTCCACACACCCCGCCCTAAATACACCCGTTTGCATAAGTGAGCGGCTCTAGGAGAGAGAGGCAAAAAAAAGAAGCATTTCTGATGTATCTAGCATGAAACCATGGGAATGCAATCTTATTCGTTCCACCGTGTAGCCTGCTAACTAAATATAACCATCAAATAACTTTCGGTGCAGCAGACTAGTAAAAAATATTCGACAATACTGGGGAATTTAGGGATATACTTTATGCATTACTAGAAATGTGACTTATTGGTTTAAACATATGACTTTCAGTCAACAGGTGAGCTGGAGTTACTGGAGCTTGAGTAACAAGATAGTTTCACTAGCCTTCACATGATATTCATTACCTGGTACATGGAAAATCTGTTTCGGATACATCGGATCTGAATAACTGAAACTATCTAGGCTGCAAGTCACAGTTTGACTGCCAGCGGAGGCACTCCTAAGCACCGTCCAGTTTACTACCCGGAAAAGAGGGATGGCTGTGCATGAGACTACCAATCCCACCTTACCCACTATAGTAGTAAGTGATTTCGATTGTTAAATGAGGAGTCAAGCAACTAGACTATCTATAAATTATGTTGAAGGAACATAATCCTTCTGTGATAACAATTCGCTAAATAGCATATCAAACATCAGATGTAATAATCATCACCTTATCACTGAAATTATTCTGGAATTCCGGTTGATTAATTATCCTGGACCAAAATGCTCAGTTTGTCCTAACAACTCGTCGGCTTCTACCAAAATTACTTTAGGTCAACATGCAGTTCTATCGTTGACGTTGGTTGACAGTTCAATCAACGAGGCGTATTCAGTCCTATTTAGGGTTCGCTAGCTGGATGTTACTGTATCCGGTGAGTAATGCTCTTCATACTGAAAAATGATCCCTTCATCCGTCTTTTCAAATGTCAAAGAGTTATCTACTAGTCTACTGAGCCATAAAAGCCGCCACTTGAGTAGCGAGTTTTAGTGGTTACTTATTGCAATTATTTCGGATTTTCCGTTGATACCAGCTGCATTATAGGTAATTCACATGACTGAGTAACCTAGTAGGTAACGCCTTGACATTTGAAATGACTGATGAAAAGCTCAGTTTTCATTACTAATACCATCGCTTACTTGGATACAAGCACATCCAGATGATGAACCCTGGAAAGGATGAAACATACCTTAGGGATACTGTTGAGTATTGATCTACATCTAACTAACTAGAGATAACAGGACAGAAAATGGCATGAGTGCTTGACCGCACACATTCAGTCTAACTAGTCGACTTAAACAGTAAAGCTCAGCAGTCAATGTTGAGTGATAATGAAATCTGTAGGCTAATGATCTTAGGGAATTACTTAATTCGATGATATTAAATAGTTGGAGGCGATCGGCCACAGGAAGCCATTTGGAGTAAGCACAGGAGTCAGACAAGGGTGCTTATTACCACCAATGAATGATATTCCTAATTGTGGTGGACTGGATTATGCGTCAGACAGTGGGAAACGAGAAGACAGGGATATCTTGGACCGATGTGAAGAACCTAGAAGACCTGGATTTCGCGCGTGGATGATTTAGGTTTGATGTCACTGTCACAAAATCGAAGACTTACAAGCGAGCAAAAACCAACAAACTGGTCGAAGAAGCAGTCAGAGAAGACAGGACTCCAAATGAACATAGACAAAACGGAGGTCATGAAAATAACCAACCAACCAAACAACAACAACAGCAGCAACATCCAGCGCCAACCACCATCAACGGGAGGGATTTGAAAGAGGTTACTTCATTCACTCACTGATCTAGGGAGCATTGTCTCAACTAAAGGGAGTCGGAACGGACGAGGATGTCAAATCGAGAATCATCGGGAAGGCGAGCGAGAAACACATTCATCAACCTGAAACCAATCTGAAAATCTTCGTCACTCTGCATCAACAACAAAGTTCGGTCGGATTTTCAATACAAACGTCGTCAGTCAGCTCTTCTATGCGGATCAGAAACTTGACGGGCGGGTCACAAAGAATATTTCCAACAGCCTGTTGCAGACCAGACCTTTATCAACAACTGTCTTCGCTGGCTCTATACTGAAGATCAGATGGCCGGGCCGGAAACAATCACCAACAAGAACCAATCGCCAACCAACAAATGTGCAGGAGAAAGTGGAGATGGATTGGACACTTGCTGAGGAGGCCTCTGGGTGACATCGTGCAATTGCTCAGGTGGAATTAGGCCAAAAAGGAACTGGCGAGTTGGTTGTCAGTGCAAGGGTGATATGGAGGAGATCGTGTGAAGAGGAGGAGTTGAAACAGTATGGACTAAGATGGATGCAGGTGAAAAGTGCAGCAAAAGACAGAAGTGGCAAGTGGAGACGTGCAGTTGAAGCCCTATGTTCCACTAGGAACCCAAGGGAATAATAATAATAATACTGCACAGCTGTTTCGTCTGCTCATCAGTACGCACCCAATGGACTCACCTTGTAACCAGAAGGTCTTGCATTCGAACCCCGGTGGGTGCGTACTGATGAAGAGTCCCAAACTAGGACGAAACATCTGTCCAGTACTCCCAGGTTTTTCAGTGGTTCTCCAGCTGATATATGATATAAACTTGAATTTTTGATGAAAATACTATCGACAGAAAAAGAAAAAAATTATTCACCAGTTAAATGACCTACTTTGTCCCAATTTACTTTTGAATGCTTTCAGAATTGTTGACAACTATAGAACTGACCAAAAAAACAATAAAGATACTTAAGGCTTTAAATCTTTTTTAGGAACTGATTGAATACAATGTTTACAGAAATAATAGATATCATACAAGTTTGGAACTCATCAATATTTCACATACAAGACCTTGCGATGGACCGAGTTTAGAATTCATAGCTTTCGTGATGAGTCTGTTACCACTCAGCCAGTAGACTGAATTTCAACTGTCTACAATTCTAACACTTATCGGTTGACAGTATATAGTAGTGGTGTAACGGGAGAAGACAAGGGACTTGGTAACAGGTTGTTTATTTGCTTTTTGAAATACACATAGGCAAACTATGTGTACCAGGTATTAAAATCGTCATTTGCATAGATCTTTCATGTTGTGGTACTTCTGCCCTTTGTATTATGTTTCTCTGTCTTTATTTTATGTATCCCGTCTTTTGCCACAATACTGGTTCATTTTCTCTCACTTGATGTCAGACTCATCTCTCCACTATTTGATATTTTTGTGCTGATCAATGTCTCTTTATGTACTACTGATAAATCATTTCAGTAGCATATGCCACACTAGTATCTTCCAGTTTCATCCATAAGCTATCATCTTTATACCTAACTGGGTTTATTTCTGAATTAGATCTTTGAAGTATACTGAAGACGAGTTTCCTGTTAGAACAAAATAGAGAAGCACTAAGAATAGTGATCAAAACGAAAGAGCTCATGAATGTTCTTGAAGTGGCCAGCTAGAGCCTCCGTAGTTACTTTCATATGGATTAGATATTTGGCGCTCGCATCACCAAAAGCGTTTTCAAAAGGCTGTAGATTTTCGTGGATGGTTGTCTTTTTTGTTGCCCCATACAGAAAATCAGATGGTCAGTTAGAAAGAATAAACAGCAAGGAACTCTGTAAACGAACCAACCGAGAATCTATCGCCCAAAAGATATGTAGGAGGAAATGGGAGATGAGTTAGTTATATTGTCCAGGAGACTGTTGAGTGGCAGTGTGCATCAGACATACCCTAAACTGGATGGAATCCGAATGGGAAACGAAGAGTTCGGCGTGAGTCCAATTGTGACATAGAGGAGATCGTGTGAGGAGGAAATCAAAACGTGTGGGCCATCGTGGATCCAGCTAAAAAAAGACCCGAAAGAACTAAGTTAAATAGCGACGTGCTATCGAATTCCTATTTTCTACTAGGAACTAAGAGGAATAATAATAAAATGTAATGATTGGTTAGAATTCCATGTAGAAAGACTTAGAATTTCAAATTTTTATTATTTTTTTTATTTTGATTGTAGCTTGATTCCACACAGTATTTTTGATACAAGTATGGATTTTTTTTTAGCCTGTGGTATCGGTAGCCCAAATTTTGCAGGCCGACCATTGATATCAGGTGTGCATCAGCCGAGAATCGAACCCCAGGCCATGTGCATGGTCGGCGAGCATCCTAACCGCTGTACCACCGACTCACACAGTGCAAAATCTAAGCTTTTCACCCTAAAATATAATGTCTTTTTGACAACATCTAATTTCAGGTGTTTACCTAATTAATGGCTAATATTACTTTACGAGTTGATCACGGATTGATATAGGTTAGAGAACCGTTGAAAACCAGGAAGTGCTGGGCAGCTGTTTTGTCAGGTTAGTTTGGGAATCATTGACAGTACGCATCCACCACCACCGTTCGAACCCAGGACTTTCCGGTTACAAGGCAAGCTGGCTCGTACACCATTCAGCCACTGGGACCCGATTCAATGGCCAGTCCATGAATTCTAACTTCTACCAATTCGTAATTTACCGCGGCCCCAACCAATGTCGCCGGTGGGAACTCCATCCTCCCACTTGACTGGATGGACTTCACTGGTCACGACTTCTCACTAGAACTTCAGGAAACTCCGTCCTGTAGTAAGTGACTAGCTAGCACCAGATTAATTTATATATGTATATATTACTTTGCTAAATTTTGAAAACCATTTTTAATGGAAATATGACAGAATGCACTTCCTTTCACTGACCAATGAATCACACACACAGACTTTTATAGAAATGATTAGCCCCATATCCGCATATATATTTAGAGAGAATTTTCGGAAAAAGCCAAAAAGTCTACCTAAGGACATAAGGTTATTAATTTTTTTTTAATATAAGAAATAT